TCCCATTTTTTCCTGACAAGTTCATAATTAAAATGATAATTTTGTTTGATCTTCTTTCCATCGATATTGGGGGAGTGCAATGAACTCTCAAGAAAAAAAAATCAATCACTACGTAAAGCATTGTGACAATAACATTTCGAGTTATAAGCATAATTAATGTAGTGAATATTTACTTGAATTGGTTTCACTGATTAAAATGTTTTAACATTGTGATTATGAACAAACAGGGATGAAATTCTCAAAAAACGTAAAGTTATTCAGCTGGGTGAAGTGGAACCTGTTTTTGAAAAAGTAAAAAAAGTCAATGTGGAAACAAAAAACGGCAATTCAGCTCAGATAAGTCCCGGTAGTAACATTGCTTTAAAAGATAAGCTTTGGTACTCAGTACTGGTGAGTAAAGGCAAATTTCACCCCTGAAGATATATATATATATATATATTCATTGTTTCATTCACAAGTTGTAATTTGTAAACTTTTCTCGTCGTTTGCATTCAAGAACAGAAGTAATTTTCGGAAAACCCAAAATATTAGAATAATCACTTTGGTTCAAATATCATTAGAAGTATTATTATTCGGATATTTGTTTCAACGTTATAATCATGCATCTTGATAATAGCACTGTAATATAGTTTTCATTTTGAAAGGCTCCATTGTGATATGTAAAGCACACCCCTCCTTCCTGCTATCTTTCCATATTCTATCTACAGTAGGACAATGGTTTCCCTGTGCCTGTTTCAATAGTCCAGTCGCACAAAAATATATCGACACTGTATTTGTATGAAGTAACATGAATACTCATTTCTCCATCTTCCCGAATGGATAAGTCGTGGAAACAACTTGTGTACATATGACATGTTGACTGCTTTTGCCTCTGACTTTTGTGCTTTTAGATTCTCACCTGTTACAACATGCTGTACTTTGTTTACCATAGCTGGTGTACAGTTTGTTGCAGGCTTCTTTTTGGGTGGCCCCGGTGCTCCTATGTTGATATATAATCCTTTGTTTTCCATTGCCATTAACTGCAAGAGATATCCCCATCTTGAAAATGACTAATCTATTACCTTAATACATCATTATGGCTTGAATGTATGAATATGTTGCGTCGGAAAAGGCTTTTACATAACTTTCTCAAAAGTAATAAATTTTCAATGGCACCGTACTACCAACGTCAAAATGTAGTTTTCATACCAGCCACTCTAATGCAACTTATTATGAGACTTGTTGCTGATTTGCACATCTAAAATTGTTTAATAATGTCATACTCAATTCTCTGCGTATGTGTTTGTACATATATAGAAAAAGTCAATAGCTCTAAAGCTATGAAATACATTAATTTGAAATAGGCGATGTTCTTATCAACACTATAAAACAATAATGATTAAATTAATATAAATCAAAAACATTATAAAGAGACTCAAAAATGAAAATTAATTTTTACATTACTGGTCCTTGTTATCATCATTAACACTAATAACAGATAATGTCTTTGGCCATAGCACCCAAATGCATTGAATATATTCCATCTATCAAACAAGATGCAGATGTAAGCAAATAAGGAAAATCAGTTAAGGGTTAGCAGTTGAATGCCTGAACCCACAACATCTCAACTCCTACTGCCTTTTGTTGTCTGGAACCAGTTGTGGGAAGACAGTTACCCTTAATATTTAGACATAACCTTGAAGTAGAAATAAACCATTTTAAATTTCTACCGTGTAAAACTCCCAACCTCGAACCTTTTTATGAGCTGTACAAAAAGGCAAAAATATTCTTATAGTAGAAATATACCACCCTATATTTCTACAAGACTCCCAACCTCCACCTTTTTATTTATTAATTACTAAATGAAGTTAATAAGAACTAAAACTCTTACCTTAATAGTTCTTAATTCCCTATTCTCCTTCCTTTCTCTTGAAAATTTGTTCAAGTACAAAACGG